CTATTCCTTCGTGCGCGTTGCGGATTGCCGCCAGGTTAACCTCCAAGACACGTTACCGTCAGACGGCCTCACCGAGCTCATCATCTTTTGCCGGACCGCTCACCAGTCACCAGGAGGAGAACAGGCTTGTGGATGTCGAGAGAGCGCTACGAGGTGTCCTTGACGAGTTCAGCGCGGACAAATTCCTGCCGCTTCTCGTCGCACTCTCCACAATCAGCGATGATATGAACTACTTGGATGTTCCGGTGGGGTTGCGAAAGGATTGGACGTGTGCCTTCCGCTATTCCTTTTATTTTGCGCCCCTCTGACTTTGCGATCCAAGTGTCTTGGTGAGCGCCGTTTCGGCATTTTCGAACGAGTCTGGAAGGGCATACGCTGCATTTGGCGTCCCGACCGGCGGGCAGCTTGTGGTCGTCCGTCCAGACGGGTATATTGGTACAATTGTCGGACTGAGTGAGATGCGGAGGCTAGGCGAGTACCTGAGAGGATGGATGCCTTAATTATCTGGCCTGATGTAACTACTATTGTGCTACGGTTCTCGAGAATACCCGAATCCGCTGTTATAGATATCGTCGTGAGACCGAGACTTCTTACTTAGAGCCGATGAAGCAGTTGAACCTTCATCGACGAAGGCTCAAGTGCTTAAACCTGAAATTGAGATTGTCCGACCAGGTGATAAGTCACCCTCGAGGCGGACTGCTTCTAGCGCTACATTTTGTGAAGCTTAGGGACGTCGTGAGCGCATACGCGGCCAATGTAGGGTCAGCTCGCACTACCAAGCATTTGCCTTGCTTGTTGTAACAGGCGCATGATAGTTTTGAGCTAGATTAGTGAGTGTAATCGACAGAAGCCTGAGTTTACACCCATTCGCAGATGCAGGAATATTGGACAAAGACGAGCCAATATGTTCGAGGGAGAAGCGTAGGTACAGTAGAGATCGCTTTATCCGGGAATCGACAATGGACGAGCATGATTAACGCAGCGCAATACGCAATATGCTACAATAACATATCTGTTCTGACAGTTTTTCTCTTTCCCTTCCCGCTGTCTACAGGTCTCTTTCCATCGGCCGCGCAAACACCACTTCCTTCATCCACGATCCTCCCATTCAAACCCTGCGCGACGACGCTCTGCCCATCCGCGCCAGGGACGCGCAGCAGCATCCGCAGATACGCCCGTTTTCTCGTCATCTGTAGGACACACCAACCACTCCGCACGCTGGGCATCACTCAGGACCACGTCCAAGCCGCCGAGCGCGAGGCGCATCGGCGCAGAGAGAATCTCCGCGCCCGAGACGTCCAGCCAGAGCGGGAGCCGGCCGTCGCGGATCTCGACGTTGACCCTATCGAGGGCGCAGAGACGTGGCAGGATCGCGTCCCGGAGGAAGAGGTGCGCCAGCACGTCTGTCGCCTGCGCCCTGCTGGGGCACGTGATGCGCAGGGGCGGGACGGCGCGCGGCGGATGCAGGTCCAGGATCGCCTGCTCGATGCCACCCCATTGAAGCGCGAGTTTTGACGGAGCCGGTGATGTTTCCGGGATGACGAGCTGCATGTATTCGATTTTCTGGCGACTTGGGGTTCTGGCAGGTAACAGCGCTCGTACGTGCGCGGTCGGGGCGCCGTCAGCCGAGACACTGTAGCCATATGAGTGGACTGAGATCATGAGCTCCAAGGGCTTCGGCCGTGAAGAGAGCTGCAACTCACATGGCTCAGTGCTGTCAAAAACATTGTAGCGCAGGTCCGCACGGTAGGGCGGGCCCCCAGACGACAGTGCGGCCAAGGTCTTCTCGGCCAATGCGAGAGTCGCGTCGTCGACGTGCATACGGCCTTGACTGGCGAAGAGAAGATTTGCCAGGGAGCATTGGCGGCCCAAGTCTCCGTTCTCAAAGCACCGGATGATGTGGATGATCTGCAGCCGCGAATGGCGACGGGATCGCCGGCGGACGAGGTGGGTGACGGCACCGTCCACGAATGTAACTTCCTCAACAGAGAGCTCCATCATGCCAAGATGAGCAACGCAGTTGACGAGATCCTTTACAGATAACAAGCGCAAGCGACAGAGGGTCAAGTGCCCGATGCGCAAAGTCGACCCTGGCAAGGCCTTGGGCAGGGCGGCGAAAGGCAATAAGGTCGTCTTGTTCGGCTCAGGACTGTCTTCGCTGCGGACGGTCCAAGACATGTGGACCGGGAAAGTCAGCTGAAGGCGATGCTTGTGAAGCCGAATGACATGGTGACTCCACGGAATTTGTGTGGGGATCCTGTCTTCGACAAAGTC